CTCCCAAGTAGCTGGAACTACAGGCGCCCGCCACCACGCCCGGCTAGTTTTTTGTATTTTTTTTTAGTAGAGACGGGGTTTCACCATGTTAGCCAGGATAGTCTCGATCTCCTGACCTCGTGATCCACCCGCCTCGGCCTCCCAAAGTGCTGGGATTACAGGCTTGAGCCACCGCGCCCGGCCCTGAGTATAATTTCTAATGGAACTAGGCCTACAGTTCTCTCTTTCATAAAATTGTACCAGCTACTTGGGAGGCTGAGGCAGGAGAATGGTGTGAACCCGGGAGGCGGAGCTTGCAGTGAGCTGAGATCCGGCCACTGCACTCCAGCCTGGGTGACTGAGGAGACTCTGTCTCAAAAAAAAAAAAAAAACATAAAATTGTAAACTACAGTTTCAATCCTTTTTAATAGATACAGGACTGTTGCAATTATCTATTTCTTCTTGGGTGAGTTTGGGTTAAGTTATGTGCTTTTCAGGAATTGATCCATTTCATTGAAATTGTTGAATTTGTGTGTACAGAGTTGTTCATGGTATTCCTTTATTATTTTCATCATGTCTATGGGATCCATAGTGATTTTTTTTTTTTTTTTTTTTTTGAGACGGAGTCTCGCTATGTCACCCAGGGTGGAGTGCAGTGGCCGGATCTCAGCTCACTGCAAGCTCCGCCTCCCGGGTTTTTACGCCATTCTCCTGCCTCAGCCTCCCGAGTAGCCGGGACTACAGGCGCCCACCACCTCGCCCGGCTAGTTTTTTGTATTTTTTAGTAGAGACGGGGTTTCACCGTGTTAGCCAGGATGGTCTCGAACTCCTGACCTCGTGATCCACCCGTCTCGGCCTCCCAAAGTGCTGGGATTACAGGCTTGAGCCACCGCGCCCGGCCAGTGATATTTTCTTTTACTTCTGATACTGGTCATTTGTATTCTCTCTCTGTCTCTCTCTGCCTCTCTCTCTCTCTCTCTCTCTCTTTCTCTGTGGGTCTGGCTAGAGTCTTATTAATTTTATTGATTTTTTTTTCCAAATAACCAGCTTTAGTTTCACTAATTTTCTCTATTGTTTTTATTTTCAGTTTTGTTGATTTCTGCTCTTTATTATCTCCATCCTTCTGCTTCCTTTGGTTTTATCTTTCCTTTCCTTTTCTAGCTTCTTCAGGAGGAAGCTGATATTCTGGATCTGAGACCATTCTTCTGTTCTCATATAAACACTTAATGCTATAAAATTCCCTCTAAACCACGCTTTAGCTGCACCTCACATATTTTGATATGTTGTATTTTCATTGTTGTTACATGTGTTCTGATTTTCTTTGAGACTTCTTTGATTTCTAGGTTATTTAGAAGTGTGTTGTTTAATGTCCAAGTATTTAGGGAGTTTATATAGTATATTATTTTTATATAGTATATTATTTATATAGTATATTATTTATACTATATAAATAATATACTATTTATATTTATAGTATATATTTTCTATCCTTTTGTTTTAACCAACGTGTATAATATTTGATATAAGTTTCTTAGAGGCAGCTATAATTGGATCATAGATTTTAATCTATTTATCTTTTGGGGTTTTTTTTTTGGTATGTGTAGGCTATTTACATTTAATGTAATTATTGTATGTTTGGATTTCAGTCTACCATTATATTATTCATTTTCTTTTTTTTTTTTTTGAGACGGAGTCTCACTCTGTTACCCAGGCTGGATTGCAGTGGCCGGATCTCAGCTCACTGCAAGCTCCGCCTCCCGGGTTTATGCCATCCTCCTGCCTCAGCCTCCTGAGTAGCTGGGACTACAGGCGCCCGCCACCTCGCCCGGCTAGTTTTTTGTATTTTTTTTAGTAGAGACGGGGTTTCACCGTGTTAGCCAGGATGGTCTCGATCTCCTGACCTTGTGATCCGCCTGCCTCGGCCTCCCAAAGTGCTGGGATTACAGGCGTGAGCCATTGTGCCCAGCCACTCCCAGCTAATTTTTATATTTTTAGTAGAGATAGGCCAGACTGGCCAGGCTAGTCTCGAACTCCTGGCCTCACTGATCCACCTGCCTCAACCTCCCAAAGCACTGGGATTACAGGTGTGAGCCACAGCACCCAGCCTAAAATAGGTGGATACCTAAATTGGTATCATAATCTATGTCAAATTAATATTTACCACTTCCAGTGGCATGTAGAAACCTCACCACCATATTGTCTCTTTACCCTCTTGCTTTTATATTGTAATTGTCCTAGGTATTAGATCTAAATACATTTAAAAAAATCCCACTACACAATGTAATAGTATTTTTCCTTCAACCATCATACACATTTTAAAGAATTTAGACAGAAATATCTATTTACCTAGATATTTACAATTTCTTTTGCTCTTCCTTCATCCTTCCTGAAAAATATTTTTGCTGGATTGACCATTTCTGGGTTGAGAGTTCCTTTCTTTTTCAGGACTTTAAAAATATTGCTCTGCCAGGTATGGCAGTTCATGCCTGTAATCCCAGAACTTTGAGAGACCAAGGCAGGAGGATCACTTGAGCCCAGGAGTTCAAGACAAGCCTGGGCAACATAGTAAAACCTCATCTCTTCAAACAGAATTAAAAATAAAAATTGGCCGGGTGCGATGACTCACGCCTGTAATCCCAGCACTTTGGGAGGCCGGGGCAGGCGGATCACAAGGTCAGGAGATTGAGACCATCCTGGTTAACATGGTGAAACCCCGTCTCTACTAAAAATACAAAAAATTAGTCGGGCGTGGTGGCGGGCGCCTGTGGTCCCAGCTACTCGGGAGGCTGAGGCGGGAGAATGGCATGAGTCCAGGAGGCGGAGCTTGCAGTGAGCCGAGATCGTGCCACTGCACTCCAGCCTGGGCGACAGTGAGACTCCGTCTCAAAAAAAAAAAAAAATAAATAAATAAATAAATAAATAAAAAAAAATTAACAAGGTATGGCTAAGTAGCTGTTTTCCAAGATACTTGGGAGGCTGAAGTGGGAAGATCACTTGAGCCTGGAAGGTCAAAGTTACAGTGACCTATGATCAAGCAGCTATACTCCAGCCTGGCAACAGAGCCAGACTCCATCTCCAAAAAAAAAAAACAAAAACAAAAACCAGGCACGGTGGCTCCTGCCTGTAATCCCAGCACTTCGGGAGGCTAAGGCGGGCAGATCACCTAGGATCAGGAGTTTGAGACCAGCCTGGCAGCCTGGTCAACAAGGTGAAACCCCGTCTCTACTAAAAATACAAAAATTGGCCAGGTATGGTGGCGCACACCTGTAGTCCCAGCTACTCAGGTAGCTGAGGCATGATAATCACTTGAACTTGGAAGGTGGAGGTGACAATGAGCCAAGAATGTGCCAGTGCACCTCAGCCTGGGCAACAAAATGAGACTCTGTCTCTAAATAAATAAATTAAATTAAATAAAAATAATTTTATTTGAAATGTTGTTCCACTTTCCTCCAGCCTCCATGGTTTCTGATGAGGTATCTGTTATCATTCAGTTTTTTTCAATATTTTTTTTTTTTTTTTTTTTTTTTTTTAGACAGAGTCTCGCTCTGCCGCCCAGGCTGGAGTGCAGTGGCGTGATCTTGGCTCACTGCAAGCTCCGCCTCCCGGGTTCATGCCATTCTCCTGCCTCAGCCTCCCGAGTAGCTGGGACTACAGGCGCCCGCCACCTCGCCTGGCTAGTTTTTTTGTATTTTTTAGTAGAGACGGGGTTTCACTGTGTCAGCCAGGATGGTCTCGATCTCCTGACCTCGTGATCCGCCCGTCTCGGCCTCCCAAAGTGCTGGGATTACAGGCTTGAGGCACCGCGCCCGGCCTCAATATTTTTTAATAAGGGTTATTTCTTTGTCACTGTTTTCAAATTTTTTTTTTTTCTGTAGCTGAGCATAGTGGCTCACACCTGTAATCCCAGCATTTTGGGAGACTGAGGCAGGGAGATTGCTGGAGGCCAGGAATTTGAGACCAGCCTGGTCAACATAGTAAGACCCTGTCTTTAAAAGAACAAAAAAATTTTTTTTTCTTTGTCTTTAGTTTTTGGTAGTTTTTAAAATTTTTTTCATTTAATTTAATTTTTATTGACAAGGTCTTACTCTGTCACCCAGGCTGGAGTGCAGTGGTGCGATCATAGCTCACTGCAATCTCAAACTCCTGGGTCCAAGCAATCCTCCTTCCCCAGCCTTCCCGGCAGCTGGGAATATAGGCACACACCACATACCAGGTTAATTTTTAATTTTTTTGTAGACATTGAGTCTCACTATGTTGCCCAGGCTGGTCTTGAACTTCTGACCTCAAGCCGTCCTCCAAGTGCTAGGAAGTGCTAGGAACCCGAAGTGCTAGGATTACAAACATGGGCCACTGTGCCCAGCCAGTTGTTTTTGTTTGTTTTTTGAGAAGGAGTTATGCTCTTATTGCCCAGGCTGGACAGCGGTAGTACAGTCTAGCTCACTGCAACCTCCACCTCCTGGGTTCAAGCAATTCTCCAGCCTCAGCCTCCCTAGTAGCTGAGATGACAGGCATGCGCCACCACAGCTGACTAATTTTGGTATTTTTGGTAGAAATGGGGTTTCTCCATGTTGGTCAGGCTGGTCTCGAACTACTGACTTCAGGTGATCTGCCTCCCTCAGACTCCCAAAGTGCTAGGATTACCGGTGTGAGCCCCTGTGCTCAGCCCAGCCAGATTTTGGTAGTTTTATTATGACGTCATTTCTTGGTGTGTGTTTTTCTGTTTTGTGTTGGTTTGGTTTTTTGAGACAGAGTCTCACTCTGTTGCCCAGACTAGAGTGCAGTTGTGTAATGTTGGTTCACTGCAACCTCCACCTCCCAGGTTCAAGTGATTCTCCTGCCTCGGCCTCCTGAGCAGCTCGGACTACAGGTGTGCACCACCACACCCAACTAATTTTGTATTTGTAGTAGAGACGAGGTTTCACCATTTTGGTCAGGCTGGTCTCAAACTCCTGACCTCTTGATCCGCCCGCCTCAGCCTTTCAAAGTGCTGGGATTACAGGCATGAGCCACCGCACCCAGCTGGTGTGGGTTTTTTTGTTTTTGTTTTTTTAAAGTTTAACCTATTTTAGTTTCCCTCCATGTATTAGTCAGGGTTCTCTAAAAGGACAGAAGTAATATATGAATGTATGAAGGGAGTTGATTAGGAGAACAGACTCACACCATCACAAGTTGAAGTCCCACGATAGGCCATCTGCAAGCTGAGGAGCCAGGAAGCCAGTCTTGGCTGAGGTTTTGAGTCTCAAAACCTCACAAGCAGGGAAGCCGACAGTGCAGCTTTCAGTTTGTGGCCAAAGGCCCAAGAGCCCCCGGCAAACCACTGGTGTAGGTCCGAGAGTCCAAAAGCTGAAGAACTCGGAGTCCAATGTTCGAGGGCAGGAAGCATCCAGTGCAAGAAAAAGATGGAGGCCGGAAGTCTCAGCAAGTCTGCTCTTCCCATGCCTGCTTTTATGCTGACAGCGGATTGTTTGTTGCTCACCCAGATTGAGGGAGGGTCTGCCTCTCCCAGTCCACCGACTCAAAGACTCAAATGTGAATCCCCTTTGGCAGTCCCCTCACAGACGCTCCCAGGAACAATACTTTGCATCCTTCAATCAAGTTGAGGCTTAACATTCACCATCACAGTCAGCTTCTTGAATTTCTAGGTCAGTTTATGTCTTTTCCCCAATCTGGGGAGTTTCCAGCCATGGTTTCTTTATATGCATCTGAGCCCTGCCCTCTCTCCTCTCCTGGGACTATACTGTCAGGAATGTTAGAGCTTTTGTTATTGTTCCACAGGTCCCCGAGGCTGTTATTTTGCTTTTTCCGGTCTATTTTCTCCCTGTTGTTCAAATCGGGTAATTTCTGTCTTTCTTTCTTTCTTTTTTTTTGAGACGGAGTTTCGCTCTTGTTGCCCAGGCTGGAGTGCAATGACTTGATCTCAGCTCACTGCAACCTCCACCTCCCAGGTTCAAGCAATTCTCCTGCCTCAGCCTCCTGACTAGCTGGGATTACAGGTGTTTGCCACCACACCCAGCTAATTTTTGTAGTTTTAGTAGAGATGAAGTTTCGCCATGTTGTCCAGGCTGGTCTCAAACTTCTGACCTCAGGTGATTTGCACACCTCAGCCTCCCAAAGTGCTGGGATTACAGGCGTGAGCCACTGCCCCCAGCCAAATTGAGTAATTTCTATTATTCTATCTTCCAGTTTACTATTCTTTCCTCTGTCCCCTCCGTTCTGCTGTTGAGTCTCCACCCACTGAGTTTTAAATTTAGGTATTGTGTTTTCCTTCCTTCCTTCCTTCTTTCCTTCCTTCCTTCTTTCCTTCCTTCCTTTCCTTCTTTCTTTTTTTTTTTTTTTTTTTTTTGATGGAGTCTTGCTCTGTCACCCAGGCTGAAGTGCAGTTGTGCAATCTCGGCTCACTGCAACCTCCACCTCCCGGGTTCAAATGATTCTCCTGCCTCAGCCTCCCCAGTAGCTGGGATTACAGGCACACACCACAATGCTGGGCTAATTTTTGTATTTTTAGTAGAGTCAGGGTTTCACCATGTTGGCCAGGCTGGTCTCGAACTCCTGACCTCATGATCTGCCTGCTTCAGCCTCCCAAAGTGCTGGGATGACAGGGGTGAGCCACCGCGCCCGGCTGTTACTGTGTTTTTCAATCCTAAAATTTCCATTTGATTCTTCTTTATATATTCCCTTTCTTTGCTGAAACTATTTTTCATTTGTTTCAATTGTCCATAGTTGCCTATCGGAGCCTTTTTGCGATGGCTACTTTCAAATCTCTGTGAAATAATTCCAAAGTCTCTGTCATATCAATGTTGGCATCTATCAGTTGTCTCTTTTCATTCAGTTTGAGATCTCCCTGGCTCTAGGGATGATGAGTTGTTTTCAGCTGAAACCTGGACATTTTCGTTATTACGCTATGAGGCTGTGGCTCTTACTGTTTTTTGTTGTTGTTTGAGATGGAGTCTTGCTGTGTCGCCCAGACTGGAGTGCAGTGGTGCAATCTTGGCTCACGGCAACCTCCGCCTCCTGGGTTCAAGCGATTCTCCTGCCTCAGCCTCCCAAGTAGCTGGGATTACAGGCGCGCGTCACCACACTCAGCTAATTTTTGTATTTTTAGTAGACCCGGGATTTCACCATATTGGCCAGGCTAGTCTCGAACTCCTGACCTCAAGTGATTAGCCTGAGGCTATAGCTCTTATTTAAACCGTTTTATCTGGCTTCCTGATACTTCTCTGGCAGGGGAGAGGTAGGAGGGGCACAGGTGCATTCTGCCAAGTGGAGGCAGAATCCAGCCCCCCAGCTGAGCGGGATGCTCTCTGCTGCTGCTGAGGGGTAGGAGTCTTGGCTTCCTCGTAGGCTCCAGGGATACCTCCCTGGCTAGAAGGGCCTCCAAGGACGCTGCGGTGGGACAGCAGCCTGGGTACTGCCCAGCAGGGATGAAAGTCCTGACTCCCTAACTGTCCTTCTCCAACCCCACCCCACAGTGTTTGTGTGTTGCTGGGTGGGGGTGAAGGCGGAAGCCTTATCTTGCCAGTTGGCCTTCGCTGGTCTGGGCTGGTGAGGTCACAGTTCTTTGTGTGGTGTTTGGCGGTGGCAGAGGGGCTGTCGTCTAGAAGTTTTCAGTCTTGCCAGGCTGTCCCTTTTCTGGTCCCTTGGCTAGAGAGGACAGGCTTTGGGGGAGCTTTTTTTTTTTTTTTTCTTTTTGAGACGGAGTCTCGCTCTGTCACCCAGGCTGGAGTGCGGTGGCGCGATCTCGGCTCACTGCAAGCTCCGCTTCCCGGGTTCACACCATTCTCCTGCCTCAGCCTCCCGAGTAGCTGGGACTACAAGCGCCCGCCACCACGCCCGGCTAATTTTTAGTAGAGACGGGGTTTCACCGTGTTAGCCAGGATGGTCTTGATCTCCTGACCTCGTGATCCGCCTGCCTCGGCCTCCCAAAGTGCTGGGATTACAGGCGTGAGCCACGGCGCCTGGCCTTGGGGGAGCTTTTGTGTCTGTGGCCATTGTTCATGTCTGAGTTTCTGGCTTTTTCATCCCAGGCCGGAGGCAAAAACAAACAAACCAACTGCAGGGAGTGCACTGCCCTTGAGGACTCCTTGGGTAGTTTTCAGCTGAAACTTGGACATTTTCGTTATTATTCTGTGAGGCTAGCTGTCTTCTCTCTGCCTGTCATAGTCTTCTTATGTTTGTTTTACATACAGTGGTCAGTTTTTAAAGTTGTATTTAGCAGGAGAAATAAGGTGAAGTGTGTCTGTAGTCCAGCTTCCCAGAAGTCATTTAAATTTGATAAACACCGGCCGGGCGCGGTGGCTCAAGCCTGTAATCCCAGCACTTTGGGAGGCCGAGACGGGCGGATCACGAGGTCAGGAGATCGAGACCATCCTGGCTAACACGGTGAAACCCCGTCTCTACTAAAAAATACAAAAAACTAGCCGGGCGCGGTGGCGGGCGCCTGTAGTCCCAGCTACTTGGGAGGCTGAGGCAGGAGAATGGCGTGAACCCGGGAGGCGGAGCTTGCAGTGAGCTGAGATCCGGCCACTGCACTACAGCCTGGGCGGCAGAGCGAGACTCTGTCTCAAAAAAAAAAAAAAAAAAAAAGAAAAAGAAAAGAAAAAGAAAAAAAAAAAAAGAAAAAAAAAAGTAAATTTGATAAACACCAAGTAGCCTTCCAAAAATGTTGCTGGTTCATCTTCCTTAAAATTTATTTTTCTTATTTATTTATTTGAGACTGCATCTAGCTCTGTCACCCAGGCTGGAGTGCAGTGGTGTGATCTCAGCTCACCACAACCACTGCCTCCCGGGTTCAAGGGATTCTCTTGCCTCAGCCTCCCAAGTAGCTGGGACTGCAGGCACCTGTCACCACGCCCAGCTAACTTTTTTGTATTTTTAGTAGAGACGGGGTTTCACCATGTTGGCCAGGATGGTCTCGAACTCCTGACCTCAGGTGATCCGCCCGTCTCGGCTTCCCAAAGTCTAGGGATTACAGGTGTGAGCCACCGTGCCTGGCCTATTATTCTTAATACATAATAGATGTACATATTTTCAGGGTACATATGATAATTTAACACATTCACATGTTGACATAAATGTGTATGAATTTGATATATTCATATATTGATGCATATCATGATATGACCACATTGATCATATCAGTGTAATTAAAATATCTGTCACCTTAAATATTTGTATTTTATGCTAGAAATATTTGAATTATTCTCTTTTACCTATTTCAAAATATATAATAGATTATTGTAGACGATAGTCACCCTGCTGAACTCTCAAACACTAGGTCCTATTTCTTCATATCAAACTGTATATTTGTACCCATTAATTAACCTCTCTTCATATCCCCCTCCTCCCTACCCTTCTTGGCTGCAGGTAACCACCAATCTACTGTCTGTCTTCATGTGACTCACCTTGTAGCTCCCACATAGGAGGGAGAACACGGGATGTTTGACTTTCTGTGCTTGGCTTACTTCACTTAACACAAGGACTCCAGTTTCATCCATATTGCTGCAAATGATAGGACTGCATTCTTTTTTTTTTTTTTTTTTTTTTTTTTTTTTGAGACAGAGTCTCGCTCTGTCACCCAGGCTGGAGTGCCGTGGCCGGATCTCAGCTCACTGCAAGCTCCGCCTCCCGGGTTCACGCCATTCTCCTGCCTCAGCCTCCTGAGTAGCTGGGACTACAGGCGCCCGCCACCTCACCCGGCTAGTTTTTTTTGTATTTTTTAGTAGAGACAGGGTTTCACCGTGTTAGCCAGGATGGTCTCGATCTCCTGACCTCGTGATCCGCCCGTCTCGGCCTCCCAAAGTGCTGGGATTACAGGCTTGAGCCACCGCGCCCGGCCCATTCTTTTTATGGTTGAATAATATTCCATTGTGTAATATATACACATTTTCTTTTTCTTTTTCTTTCTTTTTTTTTTTTTTTTAAATTAAGATGAAGTCTTGCTCTGTTGCCCAGGCTGGACGGCACTGGCAAGATCTTGGCTCATAGCAACCTCCTCTTCCCGGGTTCAAGCAATTCTCCTGCCTCAGCCTTCCTAGTAGTAGCTGGGATTGCAGGCACACACCACCACGCCTGGCTAATTTTTGTATTTTTTTTTTTTTTTGAGACGGAGTCTCGCTCTGTCACCCAGGCTGGAGTGCAGTGGCTGGATCTCAGCTCACTGCAAGCTCTGCCTCCCGGGTTCACGCCATTCTCCTGCCTCAGCCTCCCAAGTAGCTGGGACTACAGGCTCCTGCCACCTCGCCCGGCTAAGTTTTTGTATTTTTAGTAGAGACGGGGTTTCACTGTGTTACCCAGGATGGTCTCGATCTCCTGACCTCGTGATCCGCCCATCTCGGCCTCCCAAAGTGCTGGGATTACAGGCTTGAGCCACCGCGCCCGGCCTGCCTCTTTACTGTTGTTATTTCCTTTGCTGTGTCAAGCTTTCTAGTTTGTCGTAATCCCATTTGTCTATTTTAGCATTTGTTGCCTATGCTTTTGAGGTCTTACCCAAAAAATCTTTGCCCAGACTGACATCTGGAAGCATTTTCCAAATGTTTTCTTCAAGTAGTTTCCTAGTTTCTGGTCTTACATTTAAGTCTTTTTTTTTTTTTTTTTTTTGAGACGGAGTCTCGCTCTGTCGCCCAGGCTGGAGTGCAGTGGTGCAATCTCAGCTCACTGCAAGCTCTGCCTCCCGGGTTCACGCCATTCTCCTGCCTCAGCCTCCCCAGTAGCTGGGACTACAGGCGCCCGCCACCTCGCCTGGCTAATTTTTTTTGTATTTTTAGTAGTGATGGGATTTCACTATGTTGGCCAGGCTGGTGTGGAACTCTTGACCTCAAGTGATCCACCCACCTCGGCCTCCCAAAGTCCTGAGACTACAGGCGCCCACCACCATGCCCGGCTAATTTTTTTGTATTTTTAGCAGAAGCAGGGTTTCACTGTGTTCGCCAGGATGGTCTTGATCTCCTGACCTCATGATCCGCCTGCCTCAGCCTCCCAAAGTGCTGGGATTACAGGTGTGAGCCACTGTGCCTGGCCACATTTAATTATTTAATCTACTAGAGTTGATTTTTGTGTATGGTGAGAGATGGGATCTAGTTTCATTCTTTTGCATGTGGTTATCCAGTTTTCTCAGCTCCATTTATTGAAGATATTGTCCTTTCCCCATTGTATGTTCTTGAGAACTTTGTTGAAAATGATTTGGCTGTAAACGTGTGGATTTATTTCTGGGTTCTCTGTTTTGTTCCATTGGTCTATATACCTGTTTTTATGCCAATACTCTGTTATTTTAGTTACTATAGCTTTGTAGTATGTTTTATAATTTTTTTCTTGAGACAGGGTCTTGTTCTCTCACTGAGGCTGGAGCGCAGTGGTGCAATCTCAGCTCACAGCAACCTCCACCTCCCAGGTTCAAGCAATTCTCCTGCCTCAGTCTCCCTAGTAGTAGCTGGGATTACAGGTGCACACCAACACGCCTGGCTAATTTTTTGGTATTTTTACTACAGACGGGTTTTCACCATGTTGGCCAGGTTGGTCTCAAACTCCTGACCTCAGGTGATCCAGCCACCTCAGCCTCCCAAATTGCTGGGATTACAGGCATGAGCCACAGTGCCTGGCCACTTTGTAGTATGTTTTGAAGCCAGGTAGTATATGCTTTTAAAAAAAATTTTTTTTTTGATGGCCGGGCGTGGTGGCTCAAGCCTGTAATCCCAGCACTTTGAGAGGCCGAGACGGGCGGATCACGAGGTCACAAGATCAAGACCATCCTGGCTAACACGGTGAAACCCCGTCTCTACTAAAAAATACAAAAAACTAGCGGGGCGTGGTGGCGGGCGCCTGTAGTTCCAGCTACTCAGGAGGCTGAGGCAGGAGAATGGCGTGAACCTGGGAGGCGGAGCTTGCAGTGAACTGAGATCCGGCCACTGCACTCCAGCCTGGGTGACAAAGCGAGACTCTGTCTCAAAAAAAAAAAAAAAAAAATTTTTTTTTGAGACGAAGTCTCGCTCTGTCACGCAGGCTGGAGTGCAATAGCACCGTCTTGGCTCACTGCAACCTCCGCCTCCTGGATTCAAGCAATTCTCATGCCTCAACATCCTAAGTAGCCGGGATTACAGGCTCGCGTCACCACACCCAGCTAATTTTTGTATTTTTAGTAGAGACGGGGTTTCTACTGTTGGCCAGGCTGATCTCGAACTCCTGACCTCAGGTATTCCACCTGCCTCAGTCTCCTAAAGTGCTGGGATTACAGGTATGAGCCACCATGCCCGGCCCAGCTTTGTTCTCCCTTTGCTCAGGATTGCTTTGGCTATTCAAGGTCTTCTATGGTTTCATATGAATTTTAGGATTGTTTTTTCTATTTCTGGGAAGAATGTCATTGGTATTTTGAAGGATTTCATTAAATCTGTACATTGCTTTGAGTAGAATTGTCATTTTAACAACATTAATTCTTCCAATCAATAAGCATGAGATATCTTCCCATTTTTGTGTGTGTCTTTGTCAATTTATTTCATCAGCATTTTATAGTTTCCTTGTAGAGATCTTTCACTTCTTTGGTTTAATTTTCTTCAAGGTATTATATGTTCTTTGCAGCTGGTATAAATGAGATTGCTTTCTTGATTTCTTTTTCAGATTGTTGCTGTTGATATATACATAAATGCTACCTGGGTTTCGTATGTTATTTTTATACCCTGCAACTTTACTGAATTGATTTCTCAGTGCTAACAGTTTTTTTGGTGGAGTCTTTAGGTTCTTCTAAGTATAAGATCATGTGATCTGTAAATAAGGCTAATTTGATTTCTTCCTCTCCAATTCGGATGCCTTTTATTTCTTTCTCTTGCCTCCTTGCTTTGGCCAGGACTTCCAGTTTTATGTTGTATAGTGATGAGATTATGCTGGGCGCGGTGGCTCACGCCTGTAATCCATGCACTTTGGGAGGCCGAGGTGGGTGGATCATGAGGTCAAAAGATCAAAACCATCCTGGCCAACATGGTGAATTTCCTGTCTCTACTAAAAATACAAAAAAGTTAGCTGGGCGTGGTGATGGGCACCTGTAGTCCCAGCTACTCAGGAGGCTGAGGCAGGAGAATCACTTGAACCCGGCAGGTAGAGGTTGCAGTGAGCCAAGATTGCACCATTGTACTCCAGCCTGGGTGACAGAGTGAGACTCCATCTGAAAAAAAAAAAAAAAAAAAAAAAGTGATGAAAGTGGGCTCCTTGTCTTTTTCCAGATCTTAGAGAAAAGGCTTTAAATTTCAGTATGGTGTTAGCTGTGGGTGCTCGTTCATGTTGAACAAGGGAGGGGAGTATACCTCAAGTTGGCTTAAGAAAGATACATGTAAAAATGGGCTGTAGACTTAATGAACATCCCAATAAATGCCTGCATGTGTCAATCAATGTTGGATGGATGGTGAATGGATGATACACGCATGGATAGATAAATGGATGAATCACTATTCATCCATGCTGGTTGGATGGATGGATGGATGGATGGTGATGGATGGATGGATGGATGGTGGATGGATGGTGGTGGGTGGGTGGGTGGATGGATGGATGGATGGATGGATGGATGGTGGTGGATGGATGGATGGATGGATGGATTCTGGATGGATGGATGGATGGATGCTGGATGGATGGATGGCTGATGAATGGTGGATGATGGCTGGCTGATGGGATGGATGGATGCTGGATAGATGGATAGATGCTGGATGGATGGATGGATGCTGGATGGATGGATGGATGGTGGTGGGTGGATGGATGGATGGATGATGGATGGATGGATGGTGGATGGATGGATGCTGGATAGATGGATAGATGGATGCTGGAAGGATGGATGGATGGTGGTGGATGGATGGATGATGGATGCTGGCTGGATGGATGGATGCTGGATGGAAGGACGCTGGATGGATGGATGGATGGTAGTGGATGGATTCTGGATGGATGGATGGATGGATGAATGGACAGATGGATGGATGAATGGACAGATGGATGGATGGATGGATGGATGCTGTATGGATGGTAGATGAATGGATGCTGGATGGATGGATGGATGGTGGATGGATGGATTAACAGGACATTAGGTGGCCAAAATGCAGTCTGGGTGAGACTGATCCCAGATTCAATGCTGACTGTAATATACATAGACACTGAGGTGATATTTTACCCACATGACCTTGTTTAATCTTCCAACAAGGTATCATCACCATTTGAAAGAAGAGGAAACTAAGGGACAGAGAGATATGGTGCTGAACTGGGATCCAAGTCCAACCCCTCTGGTGTGGACTCAAGATATCTCCATTGGCCGGGTACGGGAGCTCACACCTATAATCCCAGCACTTTGGGAGGCTGAGGCAGGCAGATCACGAGGTCAGGAGATCGCGACCATCCTTGGTTCACCATGGCTAACATGGTGAAACCCCGTCTCTACTAAAAATACAAAAAATTAGCCAGGCATGGTGGTGGGCACCTGTAGTCCCATCTACTTGGGAGGCTGAGGCAGGAGAATGGCATGAACCTGGGAGGTGGAGCCTGCAGCAAGCTGAGATTGGGCCAGTGCACTCCAGCCTGGGCGACAAAGCGAGACTCCATCTCAAAAAAAAAAAAAAAAAAAAAAGTCTTCATTGCTCTCTTCCACTCAGCTGCTGCCTAGCGGGGCCGGAGGAAGCTGTGAAAAGATGACCAACGTCAGAACATCCTGCTGATGGTAAGGGGTTTTCCTGTCTCAGAGAACTGTTGGTTCTAGCACATTCCAAAATCTCTCCAAGATGAAGATCTAGGCCGTGGTATATTCATGCATCCAACAAGCACTTGTCAAGGGCTTGCTTTGTACCATGCCCTGTGCCAAGTGGCAGAGATAAACTGTGAGCAGTGGGACCAACTCATTCTTTGCCCTCATGCAGTGAACAGCCCCACAGGTGACAGCGGGTCTAGGATCACCCTCTCTCCACCCCGGGTACACCCTGTCAAAAGTGGAAGGGGCAGAGCCAGTGACTTGTTGCTTACCAGATGCTTGGCCCCGTGCTCAGCCCTTTGGTCCTAAAGATTCTGTAAGTAACAACGAATACCAGAGGTAGGCAACTGGGAAGAAAAGAAACCTAGAGGGAACGGAGTCCAGGGACCAAGGGATATGAGCCCTGGCTACAACTCCAGGACAGGAGGAAGAAAATGCACCCTCTTCAACTCAGCCCGTCCCTCTGTGCGTTTGTGGTATGCGCTAACGCTGTCTGCACACATGCAGCTACCAACTGAGCCAGACTGTTGGGGTTCCCATAGGTCCTGAGGCCCGCCCACAGCCCTCTTTGCCTCCATTTCCCCAGTGATCAATGAAGAAGTGCATACATTCCTCTCTTTCCCCTCCTTTCCCCATCTCCTTGGCTCAGTGAAGAGGGAGGCAGCGCTCCTAATGCCTGAGGCTCCGCCATCCTCCATTCAGAGTGTCGGCTTCTTACCCAACACCAATCCCAGGCTCCCTGTGCGCCTTTCCTCCCCAGGCACCGAGGCCTGGCTACCTGCCCACCTTGCACACATCACCAGCCTCCCTTGCGCATGGCTTTGCTGACCAGTCCCTGCTGCCTGCTCAGGCACTAGAGATTGGTGGTGCCTGCAGGCCGACAGCTGCTGGGCAGGCAGGGAGGCTGGTATGTCTGTCTGCCAGCTTTGCCATCCTGTACCTGGGCAATTTCCTATGCCAGACTGGTGTGCAGGGTCCCTCCACCTCAGTGTCCAGAGACATCACCAGGCCGGAGCACACCCACTGTGCACCTACTGTGTACCAGAGCCCGGGATGCCCCCACACCAGGTCTACTCCCGCTTCATCTTTAAGTCAAACCGCAAGGCAGGCTCTACTGACTGCCCTGCTCTAAACACAAGCCAGGGTCAAATTTGGGATGAAGTGTGTAGAAAGTAAAAGTTCCTCTTCAAAGTTTCCCTTCTTGTTAAAAATAAATCATAAGTGTTAGAAATAATAGTTTCTTTTAAAGACTAGATTTATGCTAGACGTGCTCACAGGCACGTAGTACATTCTATGTCCTTGTACTTTAACCAAAATATGAGTGCTGGACGTGCTCACAGGCATGTCCCAGCTCACAGCCTATACCCCTTCCTTTTTGGAAATGTTATTACTTTTCTAGGTCCTTTCATAAACAACTTCCTCTTTTCCTTTATCCTTCCATTACTTTTACCTGTTTGGAAAAGTTTTAAACTGTTAGCCAATCGGGTTTTAGTTTAGATTGTAAGGTCTGGTTCCAGCCAATGGAGACAGGACATAGTAGCAGGGACAAACTGCCTAAGGAATAAAAATTGCTTCCCTCCTTTGTTCGGATGTGCTCTCACCACTGTTCCATCTGTGATGAGCACCCTTTCGGCAGAAAGTACAAAAGGCCTTGCTGAGAGCATTACATTTATGTTCAAGGGCTATTTCTTCGTGGCACCGGGGAGCAAGCATTTACATATAACAGTGTGTCTAGGAGCAGGGACGGCCTTGCTGTGAACTCCTGGTCAGTGCTGGTCCCTGCATCTGGGATGTTGTCCTCTCTGATTTCCAGTCTGGAGCGCTGGACCCTGCCAGGGGGAGAGCATCTTAGCCGAGGGCCCTGGGCTCTGGGGTCCTGAACACAGCCTCTGTTTCTCCATCCTCATGATGTGGAGATAGATGGCCTGGTCCCATTCTGGCCCCCGTGAAATGAGAGAAGGTTCTGGAAAGGTGCCTTGTCTAGCGCCACGCAGTCACTGGGAGGATTGCAGAAGCAGCTCGCTCCAAACATTTAGGGTAGAGCCCAGGTTTACCACTTCTGCCTGCCACAAAGGGCTCCAAGCTCTCCCCACTGGCCCCCTTGGTAGCCTCAGCAGGGTTCACGGCACACAGCTGCTGCTGTCATTATGAATTTAGGTCTCTCTGCACCACTTGAGTGCATGTTCTACAAGGGCAAGCGTCTCATTTGCCATGTTCTGCAGAATCCCCTAAGCCTGGTGGGGACAGAGCACGGGCTTGAGCTGTTGCTTGAAGATATGGTTGGAGGAAGGCTTTATGAACACCGACTATGTTCCCAGTGCTTTTACAGCAGTGGGTATGCAGCAGGTGCTTAACAAAAACTTGCCAGAAGACTAAGTGAATCAGCTGGGGAATTGGACTAATATCTTTTTTTTTTTTTTTTTTTTAGACAGAGTGTCGCTCTGCCTCCCGGGCTGGAGTGTGGAGCGCAGTGGCACAATCTTGGCTCACTGGAACCTCCATCTCCTGGGTTCAAGCAATTCTTGTGCCTCAGCCTTCTGAGTACGTGGGATTACAAGCATGTGCTCCAACACCTGGCTAGTTCTTTGTATTTTTAGTAGAGACAGGGTTTTGCCATGTTGGCCAGGCTGGTCTCGAACTCCTGGCCTCAAGTGATCCGTCCGCCTCTACCTCCCAAAGTGCTGGGATTATAGGTGTAAGCCATCGCGCCCGGTTGGAGTGACATCTTTTGTTGCAAGCCTGGAGCATTAAGTAATGACAGAAAGTAGGGAATTGCTCAAGAAACAAAAGGACGGGTTAGGTCAGAGGGACACGGGGCCAACCTGGAAAAAGCACCCAGTGGCCGAAGCTGGGATGATTAGAACAACAAAATAAATAGTGTAGCATGGGATTATGACCTAAAGTATGACATAAATATACATCAATTCATAGTGATTGAATAAATGGTGGAGAGACAGATCTTGCTTAGAGAAGAACAGAAGAATCCCAAGTGACATGTAGTACTGTCCCCCTCCAGGAGGTGGAGCTAAAACCTTTGCCCCATGAGAGTGCAATGTACTTAGTGCCTCTCTTCTCTCTCCCAAATAACAGAGTATGGAGTGGGGAACAGCAAGTCACAGTGCAGGTGCCTGGCAGGTGTGACCCCAGGCAATGAGGTCTCGTGGGCTGCATGGGTCCCTGCTGTGATGAACGTGAGCAGAGGACATTTGGCTTCACGGTCTTCTCTCTAGACTGATCAGGAGCAAACCTCAGACAGCCCCAGGTGGCGGGGGGCATTCTGCAGAATACCTCACCAGCGCTTCTCAAACCTGTCTCGGTCATAAACAGCAAGAAAAGGCTGATAAACTGTCAGAGATGGGAGGGAACTCATACCTCAGTGCAAAGCAGTGCCCTAGGTTGGATTCTGAACAGAAAAAGGGCAGTGGCAGGCAGACTGGTGAAATCCAAATGTAACCTGAGTTTGATTAATAGCAATGTACCAGCCGGGTGTGGTGCTGCACTCCTGTAATCCCAGTACTTTGAGAGGCTGAGACAGGAGGATCGCTTGGGGCCAGGAGTTCAAGGCTGCAGTGAGCTTTGATTGCAGCACTGCACGCCAGCCTGGGTGACGGAGGGAGACCCTGTCTAGAAAAAAAAATAGCAATATATCCATGTCAGTTTCTTTTTTTATTATTAAATATATGCTATTTAATATATACCTAATGTACTTTTTAAGGAATACTTTGGGAGTTTTTTTGAGACAGAGTTTTGCTCTTGTCACCCAGGCTGGAGCGCAATGGCATGATCTCAGCTCACTGTAACCTCTGCCTCCCACGTTCAAGTGATTCTCCTGCCTCAGCCTCCCAAGTAGCTGGGATTATAGGTGTATGCCACCATACCCAACTAATTTTGTATTTTTAGTAGAGACGGGGTTTTGCCATGTTGACCAGGCTGGTCTCAAACTCTTGACCTCAAGTGATCCACCTGACATGTCCTCCCAAAGTGCTGGGATTACAGGCATGAGCCACCACACCCGGCCATAATTAATACTTAAATATAGACTGTTTAAAGGGCAGACTGGGCACAGTGACTTATATTTGTAATCCTAGAGCTTTGGGGAGCTGAGACAGGAGGATTGCTTGAGCCCAGGAGTTTGGGGCTGCAGTGAGCTATAATCACACCACTGCACTCCAGTCTGGGTAACAAGTGCGACCCTGTTTGTAATCACAATAATAATGTGCAGAATGTAATGTGAAATGGTTATGACAGTCAAACAAATGAGCACATCCATCATCTCACAGAGTTGCCCCTCTGTGTGCGTGTTGAGAGCCCCTAAAATCTACTCTCAGTAAATTTGCAGTTAAAATACAGTATTATTGATGCCTATAGTCTTCACGCTGGACTTTAGATCTTTAGACTTATTCATCCTACGTAACTTTAACTTTGTACCCTTTGGCCTCCATCTCAATCTCCCCCACCCGCACACCCCTGTAACCACTGTTCTACTGTTTCTATGTTTTGACACTTTTTTTTTTTTTTTTTTTTTGAGACAGAGTCTTGTTCTGTCACCCAGCCTGGAGTGCAGTGGCGCAGCCTCGGCTCACTGCAAGCTCCACCTCCCGCGTTCACTCCATTCTCCTGCCTCAGCCTCTGGAGTAACTGGGACTACAGGCGCCCGCCACCACGCCCGGCTAATTTTTTTTTTTTTGCATTTTTAGTGGAGACAGGGTTTCACCGTGTTAGCCAGGATGGTCTCAATCTCCTGACCTCGTGATCCGCCCGCCTCGGCCTCCCAAAGTGCTGGGATTACAGGCATGAACCACTGCGCCCGGCCATATTTAACACTTTAAAAAAATATTTTGGGCAGGCGCCGTGGCTCATTCCTGTAATCCCAGCACTTTGGGAGGCTGAGGCGGGTGGATCACTTGAGGTCAGGAGTTCGAGACCAGGCTGGTCAACATAGTAAAAACCCATCTCTAGTAAAATACAAAAAC